TCAGCAGGACGAGTTTACCCTGTTGTGTGACTTGTGACAAGTCGGTAAGGCAGATTATGGAACTAGGAAATCTGTGTAAAATCTCATCGACCTGTCAGAAATCGTAAAACATCACTTGTGAGTTGTGCGAGGTCGGTGGAGCCACGTGGGCTCCCGGCCCCAGCGTCAAGAAGGCCCCGTGGCACGGAGCCAAGTGTATCACACACCGCTGCCTTGCCAGAAGTGCAGAGCGAACATCTTTAGATGAAATCAGATTTCATGTGGATACTGGATTCCTGAGGAAGTCTGCAAACTGACACCCTGACAAATAACCCATCTACCAGAAGACTGAAAGATGGCAACTCAGTTTTAAAAAATCAACACCAAAACTCATAAAAATGATCTTCAGCAAAAGCCTCCTTCTATAATATAAGATGTCCATTCAGAAAGTTATAGGAATAAAACACCACATTGAGACTGCTGTATTATTCACGAATAAATTGATATTTCTTGTTGATTTTTGTGGCACAAGATGACACACTTGAGGGTAACAGTCTCAGTTCGTTAAACAGAAGTTTTGCATTTCTTTAACTTTGATGCATGTACCACCCAAATATGACACGCTGAGCATTAATATCTTTACATTTCTCCCAGCTAAGTTCAAAACATCATTTCGTTGATAACCTTCAGAGGATAAACAGCCTGTTTAATGCCAACTTTATACATTATTTATTTTCTATTTTGCAGAATTGATAAGCTGAGGCTAAAAAGATTAGAAAAAGCAGAAATGGAATTGAGAATGTTTAACTCAAAGTGGCAGGAATTTGGGGCAGCAGTTTAGCTAAGTACTTCCAAATGGCTTTTTAAAAAACGCATCTCTATAGAACAATCTCAGACTTGTTCTCATGTTATGTTCAGCTAGTCACACAACCCTTAAAGTTAGATATTATTAATGTTTAGTAAACCTTTAGTTTGAGTTTATAGACCAACATTTAACCTTTTCGTGAAAGGGAATACTTAAGTTAGAGATACAAACAGGCCAAGGTTTTATCATAGGAAAACCTGGGAACTTAAAGGACATTGTTTCTTTAAAAGATTCAGTCAGCTGACCCGCAGGGCACACAGTTGCTACCCATAGTCATCTAGCTATTCAGTGCAGAAAAACTAGAAAACAGATAAGCGAAAA